ATGCCTCAGGCACTCTGCCACCAGAGCTCCTAATCATTAGCCATTAGAGAGATGCAAATCAAAACAACAATGAGATACCATCTTGCCCCAGCACTAGCAGCAAAGTTCAACAAGACAGAAAATAACAAATGCTGGCAAGGATGTGGAGGATTGGGACTCTCATACACTGCTGATGGGACTGTAAAATGATACAACCACTGTGGAAAGCAGTATGGCAATTCTTTAAAAAGTCGAAATTAGAAATACCATTTGATCCAGCAGTCTCATTATTAGGTATATATCCTAAAGAAGTGAGAGCCAGGACAAGAACAAATACAATAGCAAAAAGATGGAAACAACCTAGGTGCCCCTCAACAGAAGAATGGATAACCAAACTATGGTACATACACACAATGGAATACTATGCAACACAAAAGAGTAATGTAGAATCTGCAAAACACCACATAATGTGGGTGAACTTGGAGGACACTATGTGGAGTGAAATAAGTCAATCACACAAGGACAAATATTGTATTAGTTCATTATTGTAGAACATCAAGGAAAGGTTTATATATGAAAGCAAACTTTCTTTGTTGGTTACCAGGAGTGGGAGCAGAGAGGAGGAAACACCAAATAAATAAAAATTAAAAATAATAATAATAATCAAAAGTCACAGAAATTTGAATATAAGGTTGATCTGGAGCAGTTATTCTATATGCATGTAATCAAAAATCAAACTTACTGCTTGTGGTAGTTAAGGTTATGTGTCAACTTGGCTGGGCCTGGTTTGGAGTGGCTGGGCATCTGGTTGTAGTTGTTCCCCATGAGACTGGCAACCAGCTCCATGATGGAATTCACTATGAGCAGGTGAGTAGCTGCTCTAGGGATGTGGCCTACTTCCAGTATATAAGGAAAAGTGTTGACAAAGTTCTCTAGCTTTTGGCACACTTGAATCCTACATGTAGCTGAGTCATTATTCAGCAGCCTGACATGTTGTCTACCAGTCTTGGGACTCCTGATGGACTTAAATTAATGGCCTGCCATGTGGTTTTGTGATATTGGGACTGTTCCTTTTTACTTGGTGACCTTGGTGTTGTCAGCCTCAGCAGCCAGCAGCTGCCTGAGTGAAGAAAGTGTCCAGCTTCCGTGGGCCAGGAGCAGGAGGCAGAGCTGAAGGCCAAAGATGAGAGGCTTTCACCCAGCCTAGTGCCTAGAGCCTGGCACTTTGAACTTAGACTTCTAGCCTCCAAAGCTGTAAGAGAATAAACTTCTGTTTGTTAAAGTCACCCATTTGTGATATTTTCTATTACAGCAGCATGAAGTAACAAAAACACTGCTATAGAGTGGATTCTGACTCATAGCAACCCCCATTGGGTTTCTGAGGCAATAAATCTTTATGGAAGTAGATTGCCCCATTTTCCTTCCACAGAATGGCTGATGGGTTTGAACTGCCAACTCTCTGGTTAGCAGTCAAATGTCTTAGGCACTGTGCCACCAGAGCTCTTTATATTCATGTAGGAAGACCATTTTGATTCCAGAAAAACCAAATGGCTTAAGGAAGATAAGTATAATCAGATAAAGAGAAAAGGAAGGAGAAGAATTAATGGTCAACCATTGGCTAATTTTAATGTGATTGACTGAACGCTGCCTTCCCCCTTTTACTGAGATCAACTGATACCAAGTTACTTCTGGCCTAGATGCTAATAATTTAGTCCTCCACTCACCAACAGCCAGGAGCCTTTTTGAAAATTAAATTAGGAGATAACGGTTTGACAAGTATCCTTTTCTAGCAGGGTAAGACAAGTATACATACATTGCTATAGAACAGTTTCTGGTAGCCTTTTGCAGTTTGGGTCAAACTTTTCATTTGGTTAATATTTCATGAGTAAGAGAAACCTTAAAATCAAAGTAATATGTCTGCTAATTTTCCTATTAACCTGGAATATTTCTTCACCAACATCCTGTCCATCACTGACTGAGCGGCTTCTGGAGGTAATGACTTTCTGGAACTTTCAGCTTGCTTTGTGAGCGGGCTGAACATAAACCTGCAGCATCAAAAAAAATCATCATGTAGAGAGTTGAAGGTGTAGTATTTTCACGTATTTACTTTTGTCATGTAGATGTGAGTGCTGAGGGAATATGAACAGGATAGAAATAACATCAGCCTCATTAGGTTTCCACTCATTCACCCATCCATTCATTATTCATTTATGGTTAATTTGTTCATTTTAATTTCAACAAATATTTACTGAGGATGTCTAAGTGTGATAGGCTTTGCCAAGTAGAAGGGTTGGTAGAAGCTTTCTAGAATTCTTTTCTCTTCATCCCTTGTAAGCTTTATGAATCACATTAGCCCATTTATACAGTATACTCAATCTAAGGGGAGATTCACATGCATACAGATGGAACTTCAATCCTTTACAGCTTGAATTATTCAGATCACGTATCCTGCTCTATAAGATATACACTATAAGATATAGACTTTATAACTTTAAGAGACTAAAAAGAAACGTACCTTTCTCCAAGTGACTTCCCTCTTTCATCTTCACATCTTTGCTCTCACTTGAATAGCACGTCTTCTGTTTGGAATTTCAATGAAGGAGTCATGGGAACAAAGGCTTTAAATACAGATGGGGCCAGACTGTGGGAAGTTTGACCACCAGCATAAGTTGTGTGGATTTTACTCAAGGTGCAATAGAAAGTCACTGGAAGTTTTTAAAAA